GATAGATAGATAGATAGATAGATAGATAGATAGATAGATAGATAGACATCTTCTGCCTCCATTTATCTGTTTACTACAGTCTGTTGGACCCACGTTCATGTGGATTTAAAGACATTTACATTAGTGGGAAAAATTGCAAGGGGGGATATAAAAAAAAGTCTAATCAACCAAAACTTCCGCGACCCCCATGCAGTACCTCCAGGACCCCCTAGGGGGCGCGGACCCCAGTTGAAGTTAGACTTAGAATCAACTTTACTTATCCTTTGGGATTTACTCCTTCAGGGAAATTCTGGTTCCAGTAGCTCATGTAGAGTCCAAAGGGCAGAGTTAAAGCAAGTACAGAAGAGCATAAGAAAAATAGTAATTTCCTGGAAAATGTTACCTCTAGATATAAGATATCTGCACAGTAAAGAGCAAAGTAAAAAATACACAGGAGTTGAGACGTACTGACCTAATAAATAAGCTGGAGAATAAACCAGAGTAGGCCATTGAAGATAGAAGAAACGACATAAAAACAGTGTATATAGTACATAAAAGCGTAAGAAAAATGGTAATTTCCTGGAAAATGTTTCCTCTAGATATAAGATATCTGCACAGTAAAGAGCAAAGTAAAAAATACACCGGAGTTGAGATGGACTGACTTTATAAATACGTAGAATATGACACAGATTACACAGTAGTTGGCCAGTTACCTCTGGGCAGGAACAGGCCAGGTCCTAATTCATGCAGATGACAGGAATGTGGTAACAAATGGTGTGTGTGTGTGTGTGTGTTGACCTAAAGGTGGATCTAATGCAACAGAGAGAGAAAAAGAGAGAAAAGAGAGTCTCTGGACACAGCCAGAGACTTTAACACAAAATATAGTTATAAATCAGTAATTTACATAGATCATGTGCTAGCATACTATGCTAAAGTGAGTAATTATAGCCTAATTCTAACATATGTGTTGACTTAAAGATGGATCAAATGCAACAGAGAGAGAAAAATAGAGAAAAGAGAGTTTGTGGACACAGACAGAGACTTCAAGACAAAATATAGTTCTAAAAGTAATAAAACAATCAGTAATTAGCATAGATCATGTGATAGTATACAATGCTAATATGAGTAATTATAGCCAAATTCTAACATATGTGTTGATCTAAAGGTGGATCTAATGCAACAGAGAGAGAAAAAGAGAGAAAAGAGAGTCTGTGGACACAGCCAGAGACTTTAACACAAAAATATAGTTCTAAATCATTCATTTACATAGATCATGTGATAGCATACGATGCTAAAGTGAGTATTTATAGCCTAATTTTGCCTCTGGTTACAGGTGCCCGACGCCCGGTTGTGATGGTAGCGGCCACATCACCGGGAACTACGCCTCCCACCGCAGGTAGGCACCCCCCCCCCCCCCCCCCCCACCCCACACCCACCCACACCCACACACACACCCACACACACACACAGATACACACACACACACCCCGTAACGGACGTGTGATCGGACATAAACAAGTACACTCTAGGCCCTTTCTTCTTTTTCTTTATCCCAGTAGAAGGACATTAACCCTTTAAAGCCTGATCCAAGAATAAAAAACAAAACAGAAAATGACTTTTTTTTTTGTTTGAATTCCTTATTTGGCCTTTTAACAAAATATGTAAAAAGAAAAAACAGAAATACATTTCTGATGTTAATGATTTATTACTATGCGATAAGTCGAGATTATTTTTTGTGTAGTCTTCTGCCCCCTGTTATCAGGTTTATCTGATTGTGTACAATAGGATTTTGAGCAAAGTTTTTACCATTAAATTATGCAAAAGGTGTCAGAGGCAAAACATTTCAGAAACCGTATGAATCAGATATGATACATTTGGCATTACAGGGTTAAAAACATATTGAAGGATCTTAATTTTCCGTTTTACCTTCTTTCGTTTTTGCATTTTGACATAACGAAAAAGAGACTTGTTTTAACGCGTTATGACGGTAAAACAACCGTATAGCTCCGCCTTTGCTACTTTATTTTTACATATGTGTAAAATACATGAACTACATGAATACATAAACTTCCTGCCAACACTACGGAAGCGTAAATTACTGGAAAAATATGTGTAAATCAAAAGTTATTATTCACACAACATCGGACCATTGAGGACCAAAAAAACAAGATAAAACTCCCTTTAATATGCAATGAGTCATTTTCAAGTAACCTTTTTCCTAATGTCTGTTGGTAACAAAACAATACTGTATACAAACACAAAATTGCTACATCAATGTAAACAAGATATAAAAATGATCCTTATGGTAATAAACAAACAAATCAGAACAGAACAGAAATGTCATTAAAAACTTAGAATGATAAATTCAACCTATAATTTCTATAAATGAGGCTTACATTCCGGCCCCTAATTGTTACGTCCAAGGGATAACAATTACTAACTACTAAAGCCTGATTTATAACTTATTTGTAAACATATAAGCTAACATACAGAACATTATCTCAAGTTACTTGTTTGCTAAACACAAATGTACTCATATGAGGAGCTACAGAAGCCCAGGAGGCACAGAAAAGCAAATTTCCCAACGAAAAACCAACCAAACACAGACAAATGAAAATAACCAAATGAGATCAAATTCACAAACACTTAAAACGATAATAAAATGATAGATACGATATATAAATACATGTTGAAAATGCTAATTAATAAACCGCAAAAAAATAAATTTAATAAATTTAAAAAAGCAGCATTTTTAGCTCTGTCACGCCCACGTCTGAATTCAAAAACACTTTAAACGAATATAAAATTATAGATAAAATATATAAATACATGTTGGAAATGCTAATTAAT